TTTTGGCCAGGAAAAACAGGTACTCGCTTTTTTTCTTTTTTTGCATTCTATATTTCTTCAATTTTTTTCTTTTTTGCGTGTGTTTATAAATTACCTCGAGGGCCGTACCAAATGGTCTCGCGGGCCGTATANTTTCAAAAATCTATCATAAATTTAATCGATAGATTTATGATTCGAAAATTATAAAAGTAGGGTAGACATGTGGATATTATCCGGCTGAACAAAACGTGCATTTATCTAACAGGTACGTTTCCCACAGATCTTATTTTGAGCCATTTTCTAAAATCCTATGGAGAAATCTCATTGCTATTTGTGGAGGGAACCCATGCGCAGCTTACTTCCTGGTTTTGGGACGCGTCTCTCTCCTCCTCTTCACACACCACACTTTTCGCGGCACACGTACTTACAGCCAATCAGCTCTGAATTATGCGAGATGACGTATGGTGGGGATGGCAGCTCAGTGCCCCTATGGTCATAATTGTTCTGCCACACACATTAAATAGGACAATACTCTGAGCATGCGCAGTGTAGTTTTTACAGTCACCGTTCACTTAGACAGTGAGAGGGAGGGCATGATCGGGTTTTGTCCCACATGGCTCTAAACAGCTCAATAGGCACACACTGTAGACACTAATTAGAAGAACACAGACTAAAACAGCAATGCACAGACGAATCAGATGATTAAACATGATCTTAAAATATATTTTATATATTTTGTTATTTATTTTTTACATTTTTTTGTAATCATTATTTTTAATACTTTCTGCTGACACTAGGTGGGGCTGTGCCCCACCTGCCCCTAATGACCAGTCGCCACTGCGTACAGGACATACACACGGAGCCGTTTGGCCCCCCAGAGCGTTCCGTTTGCAGATCTATCCACCTTGGGACCCGTTATCGTTTTGGGGGTCAGTTTCCGCGGTTCCGTTACGGCCTCTCGTGAACGAACGGGCTATATGAAAGAGAAAGGTAGCGGATACAACCCGTTTAGTTCCCGTGTAAACAGCACCTTAGCCTCTTGGCTAACTATGCACATTTGCAGCAATGTTAATTAATGTGCACTGTCCCTGTTAAATAAATGAATACAATTAAATTAAACTAAAACAATCTGGTGATCAGTTTTGAAGCTCTAATTGTGCCGTGATACACGCTAATGAGATCTAGTGCAACAAAACCATAACCTTTTGCTTAAAAATGTAGTTAAGTTAATATTATTGGCTAATTTAACTCCAAACAGATATATTGCTGTACGTAAAATATGTTAATATCAAAAGCTTCTCTTCTTCATTTAATGACTGTAAGTTTACCTTATTTGATTTTTATTAAGGTTTATATAATTTATATAATTTCTGCAAATCCTAGTCATCTTTTCCTCATTTGACTGTTTTCTCTGTTTTTGCCAAGTATATGTTTCATCTGTATTAAAAATTGAAGTACATACATTCCTACTCCCTCATTGAGGATAAATGCAAATATTCTTATTTTCTAAAGTGTTACTTCTGGTCACAATATGTGTCCTACTTCACAGAAAAGTCCTTTCTCCATGCTGTGGGTTTGTGGATTCAAATCTTCACAACAATTATTTTTCAAAAAATGCTAAAGTGTTGTTAATAAAGAGTGAACAAAGCCATTGTTAGTGTTATTCGGAACAGCTGTGTGACTGTTAGTTCTGTGAAAACAAGTTGTGATGTCACAACATCATTCAACCAGCTAGGGTATAGCAGAAAGCAAGGCATATCTTTGAGGCATAATAATACATTTGGTGGCCATTCAGTTTCCACAGAGGGTCCGGACTTGATTGATGATCTCCAACCATACACTATTATCTCCTAATGCTAGCTCTCACAAAGTGTGTGTGCTTTGTGCTTAGCACTTTATGGGTCATACTTCTGGCAGTTACGTATGTGCAATATTTGACCATACCCTTCTCATTATAAGGCTGCTAGATCAAACTGTTATTATTCACAAGAATCACTTCTAGATAAGCAGTTAACACAATATTTAAAACACATGTTTTCTTTAGAAAAATGTGTCAGATGGAGAGGTAGAGGTGGTGGTAGGCCGGTGGCAGAGTTTATGTTGCATGCAGCTACACTTGGTCACTGGTAAAATGAAAACATTTTAATAAAATAAAATGAATTATTTATAGAAATTGAAAACTTAAACTAATAGGCCAAATCATATACTTCAATGCTACACTTAAAATATGATTTATGATTGAGAATAGGTTAAGATCAATCATCAATCAACGTTTGTTTATAAGATAAACAGCAGCAGTTTATTCAAATGTATTCAAAATAGCACCAACATAACCAGCTGTGATGGCAATGCATCAATAGTCATAATTCAGCGATTATATTATTCTGAAACAAATTGAGTAGCCTACTGTCACATAAGAACCAATGTTCAAAAGGTTCGGTTTATTCAGGTCAGGGACAGTCAGGCAGGGTCAACACCAGGAAATCCAGCAGTCACGCAAACAAATCCAATAAAGGGGCAGGCAGGAAACTCAAGGTCCAAAATCAGACAGGCAGGGTCAAAACCAGGCAGAACAGAACTAGGCAAACATGATAGTAAACTCCGGAGCGCTTGGTAAAACACACAATACAATCTGACAGACGACAAGTGAGAGTGAGGTGGTATACTGTGGACCTAATGAGGGAATGAGTAGCAGGTGAGGGGAATCAGCTGATTGCCTGGAGGAAGGGGGATCTGAAATGACAGGAGAGTTATATAAATGTGTCGAACTTGTGACACTACTTTTACTTTGGGTACTGTAAGTACGTAGGCTTTATTTTGATGCTAATACTTTTTGACTTTCACATTTTCTATGCAGGACTTTTACTTGTAACTGAAAATATTTACAAATTGCCATTGCTAGCCAACTTTTACTTAAGTGATAACTAAGTAACTGCTTCCCCCAGTGGGTTAAACACGTGTCTTTGAAGTCAATAATGTACTGGACCTACACTGAATTTAAGTGTTATTTCCTCATCCATATTTGAGTAGTTTAGTGGTACCCTCTCCTCCTCCCCCCATTAAACCTGCTCATTCCGGGGCTTGGGAATATAGTCGCTGTCACTGTTTGGGGGGCTGGGTGGGGAGGCTTTAACCCGGTCACAACGCGGGGAAGTTGCTCGCGGTTTTTCTGCGTTGCCATGGGGTTTTGTAAAACCTATTGACTGCGATAGGGTCCCTTCTATTCTTTGAGTCCGTCTTTGTGGAGAAGGAGGAGGAGGAGGAGGAAGAAACTGCTATTACTTTTTCCTGACAGAGGCGGGGGGTGAGCGATAGTAGCATCCAGGGGAGGAGGGAGGGTCTCGAAGCGAAGTACCGTTACGTGCACGAGCGAACCTCCCTCCGCACTCTTCCTTCCAGCGGTGGAGAAAATACAACTTTCTGAACGGTTGCCACGACATTAGTTGCACCTGAAGGTAAGTTATTTACAATTGCTGTGTTTTTATAGTGATAAAATTGCATATTTTCACATGTTTTTTGCCCATATGAGTGTTTTTGAGTTGAGGCACTTGGTACAAATTTAAGCTCGCTTTGAACACGGAGCTCTCAATTGGTATTAGGATTTGAGCACGCACCTGTACGGATTGACTCTTCACGGCAGGTGGTTGTTGAATAAAATGAAAAAAAGAGGATGAAAAGAGGTGAAATACTTAAAGGGAAGAGTAGTCACGACTGCTTTTATATTTTCATCAGTTTTTCACGAGTGGAATAACAACTAGACTTACAGTTTTATCATGAACAGTGACCTGGGAGATGAACCATTGCTAGCTTAAACACGTTTACACCTAGCAAAAGCTAAATGATTCCACTTTTTAACACAAATTAACAGCATTAAGCTCTCAGACCGTTTTCAATTTAAATTAAAGTACTTGAAGCAAGGGCACTAGAGTTAATATGTGTGAATAATGTCATTCTGAGTATCACTTATTCACATTTTGCCTGTGATGCTTGATAATAATCAGTGCCTGTAGATCACCATGTGCCATCCTTCTTATTTAACAGCACTCTGCCCATTACACAGTAATGATCTAAGCCTGCTTATCACTGGCTCTCATGCTGAATACTGAACCGCAGGACTGAATCATACCTAGTCATGCAATGTGGTGAATGGCATTATCTCATTCTCTTTTGGAAATAAATGCATAATTTCCATCCGAATGTGACAGGAACAGGGGATAATAGTGTTCAGTAGGAAAATGCATGAACAGACATCTTTTTAAAAGCCCTGCTTAATTTCCATACAATATCAGCAGTTGTATTCCTGTAGTTTGAAAGGGTAAGTGGTGTTATCATGTGGCTCTAGAAAGCGCTAAAAGTCCATATTTCTGGATCATTTCTGTTGCTGTTTTTCCATCTCAGCTGACACCTCTGACAAAGCACTAACATATTCATTTGAGAGAAAATACACATCCTATTTCTTTAATCCTTTTCCACACTTGAGGAAATTGCTCTTCATTACATGCATTTCTGTTGAAGTGCAGAGCATGCGTGACACAAGATTAGAATGAGTGATGAGGCTTCAATGAGTGCGATTAAAATCACATTATAGGGACATTTCAATCAGAAGAGTTGTGGTGGTTACCGCTAGCTTTGGTAATTTATGGGCATTGAACAGTTGTGCATCAGGCTTGTGTTCTTGACGTGTTGCATTTAAGGACCAGATATATCTCACGTGGCTTCTCAGTGATTCCCTCAGTATGAATATTTACAAGGTATGCTAATTTTGTCACACTCTTTGGTGGAAGTGCTGTAAATTGAAATACTCAAGTGTTGTTGTCTCATTATAGATTATGCCTTTGAGGGACTCCCAGGAAACACGGAAATGTTTCATAGTTTTCCCATAATTTAATATTTCTATTCCTTTTGATGCTTCTCTTTTATTGTTCACAACAGCGTGGCCTATATCGTGTATAGCACAGATTGTGGTACACTTTCCCAATAATGCTTAAACACTTCTAATGTATCAAGTGGTGTTGCTACTCCTTATCATGATCCTGCTGCTTAATTTGAAACACAAAGACCTTCTGAAGGTCAGACTGCCATTAGTGATTGTAATCATCTCAAGCTGCTCATCGAGAGGGGTAGATCCTATTTGTGTGGTGCCATCAGTCCCACCCGTTTACGTTCAGGTAAGTTGGCTGAATGTCAATTCCCGTCCAAAGACAAGAGCCCCTAATGGCACTTGTCATCACACGTGGTCCCCAGCCTCTCAGTATTCAGGGCAGTGGTGCTTTGTGTCCAGAAGTAGGTCGAATGCTTCTCACCAAACAATTTGAGCGAGCGCCAGTAATTGGACAAGCAAAGTGTCGAGCATCTCCCGGGCCGGTCCATGTCAGCCACCACTTAATATGCAGCTCCGACCTGACGCATTTCATGGACCTTTTTCATCCCTTTAATCATTCAGATTACAAAATGCAGGAAACAGAACATCCTTTGTAGCCGTCTCATTCTTCGTATATTAGGGCAGCTACTAGAAAATGTCAGCTCATGTGACGAGAAACAGCCCGTTACAGAAGCTGTAAATATGTTAAGGGGTGTTAATTCCATCTATATAACCAAAATTACAAATTTGCCTCAAGGGGCTTCACAATCTGAACAGCATATGACATATTCAGACTCAACACCGATAGGAGAAAACTTAACCGAACTTGAATAAAGCAATATTGCACTTATTGTAAGTCACTTTGGATAAAAGTGTCAGCTAAATGAAATGTAATGAAAGATAAATCTAAAGAAATAAATAATACAAACCTCAGAAAGAGCAACCAAGGAGGGATTCCTCTTACAGAGCAAATGCAATAGATGTCGTGCGCAAAGATTAGGATTAGAAAACGATAAATAGATTGTAAACGTGAGGAGAAAATGGATCAATGAGGACGTCAAGCAACAGGATGAAATATAAGTCTTCGAGTGCTTGGGCATGCTCATTAATCATTTTGATGTCATCAAAGGGACATTAAAATCTAATTTGACATGAATAGGGTGCTAAAACAGGGTAGCTGAACCATTAAGACATTTAGCAGCACACAGATTAAAGCTTAGTCACACAGATAAGTGATAACATGTGAGCTCACACCTCGCTGTGTTTACTTTTTCACAAGCATCGCAAACTGGCAAGTGGCAGGAAGTGCATGAAGATGTGATTGATCTCTTTACTGGTTCATAATAGTGTTAGTTTTGCAACAGACGTGTTTGCACTTAAAGTAGTGCATTCAGTTGGAGAGGTAGGGGTTGAGGGTGAAAAGAAGAAAGGGAGAAACACAGAGAGAGCTTCCTTTGTGCTGGTGCTTTGTACACCTGGCCTTTAACAGTGCACACTGAAAGATGCATGTATCAAGATTCAGAGAGGCCGCCAGCCTCAAAGCAAGCTGAGCCAGTTAAGACCAGGACATGAATGTGATCTAGAGGATTTCTGATACATTTCACCTTTTGAATTTAAAGCCTTTTTAATGTTCGTCTGTGCACATTGTGTAGTAGAGGCATTTCTTATCGGCAATGTGATTTCAGGCTCTCATTCAGTCTGTCGGATTGAATCTGCTGTATCTGATCGCTTCTTGAGATTAACAGGAGCAGCCTGACAACAGTGAGCAGGAGTGAATTTGTAGTTCTGTCTAAATGTCCTTTTATGCCTCCCTGTTATCACCTTAACATCTAAAAGTGTTGCTGCTTTTAATGCAACAAATGAATTGTGGTTACTGAGAACAGGTAAAGGGATATCAAGTGTATACATGGCAGCGTTGAGATGTTAAGAGCACTTTCTCCGGAGTACCTTGCAAACGCGTTAGGAAGGAAGGTGTGGAGCCTAGCAAGTACCCGGGCCCTAATTGAGGTTCAACTCAGGTTCCCGCACTACAAGAAATTACAGTGAGGAGGACTCATGCTCCTGATGCTGCAGGCAGAGTTGAGAGTGCTGCAGTGCCGCTATCCTCAAGCCCCCCTCGTTCATGTTTGACACCGCTGACAGCCGGAAAGGCAAATTCTAGCCGGTATGTTCTGGAAATGTGTTTGGTTACATGAAATATTCATCCCCTTGCCTGATCTCTGGCAGTGTGCATATTTATTTGCCAGATTTATTTTTATGATACCTGTGATTGGTTCAGAGGAGAGATACAGGAGGGTTGGATTGATTCCCTCTGGAGGGGGATGGTAGAGAAAGTGAAAGAGATAAGAGGCGATGATCAACAGAATCAAGGTTTATTTCTGATTCAACAGCACACTGCATCATCGGGGCCACTGGGTGAACATGATCAATGGATACTCCGCCTGCACGGACAATTAATCAGTAAAGGACGGACCTTCAGTGAGGTCAGCGTTATCTCGTATGTTCAGCACTTCCTTTCCCAGCAGGGTGAATGAATGAGCGGTCAGTAGCCGGTACTGACGGTGTGTTTTGCTCACATCCCTGCCTGGAGGTATAGCTCAGGCTGTCATTATCCCTTTTCTGCTGTACCGAGGTTTTCTCAAAACTGACACATTTCACCCTGACATATTGTTGCTAGCTGCCAGCGACTTGAATTGTTCTTTTTCACGTCTTTCATATATTTCATAACACTCAGAAACGTTATTGTTACACCCAAGCGACAACATTTACACAGTCAACACTTGTTGTGTTTTCATCGTCCCCCCCGAGGCTGTTTATGAATGTGTTTATCACGGGAATTTCAATCCCCTGTTGTATTCAGTGCCAAGACGGTGACATGTACTGTTATTCTGTCTCATTTAGCTCTAGAATTGTTTCACGTTTAATTAATCAAATGAGGTTATGCTCACATGAAAACCATAGCCACTATAGAGAGACAATAAGATGGTGTTTTATGAGAAGAATTCTAATCCCAATGCACATTGCTGTCAACACATTTTTCAATTGTTTTGTCCCCATTTTTGCATGCCCGCTCAGATGTATAAAGCTGGAGTTGAATCAGAGGGTAATAATCCTCAAGATTCAGTGTTTATGGTAAAAAAAACTATGTGAAAAGGGCAACACAGCAGTAAGATTCTCCAAGGGACAAGAAACATGACATATATGCCTCAAAGAGTAAGAAGTTATTGCCCTAAAGTCACTGGAATACAGGGAGGATTTCCATTTCAATTGCAGGCTCAATTTGGGATAAGTCATGCATACAGAGGTAAGGCAGACAAAGACCGTAGGAATAAAAGTGACGAATGTACAGAATGGAATAGAGGAGACTGGTATCATTGGCTTTGTGTCCCATGAAGGGTATTGTGTGGCTGCTTGGATAAGGCTGCAAGAGGGACCCCAGGGACATGAAAGTGAAGGGCACCAAGGATGAAGGAGGACACATGTGACAGGCAGGGGACACAGAAGACGTACCGGGACAGAAACACACCTCTGTGAGCCTGGTACTGTTTACCAGGTCATGTAATGGGATTGTCAATCAGTGTTTTCTGAAACCGC